CCTGGCCCCGGGGCTCAGGGCAGCAAAAGGGCTCGGGCCGGCCCTGATCATGAGCTTTTGTGGGCACAACCCACAAAGCCTGTCGTCTGAAGAAGTGGGTTGTGCCCACAACAGCTCATGATACCATCTACATGTTTTGTTAGTCTTTAAGGTGCTACTAGACCAGTGGTCCCCAACCGTAAGGGGCTGCCGGGCAGCCGGGGGCGGTGCTGCTCACGCGCTGGGCGTCTGGGAGCGGGGCCGCACATGCGCCCAGGGGCGGGGCTGCCCACACGCCCGGGGCCGGCACCGCGCATGTGCCACGCACCTGGGGCGGGGGCTGCCCATGCACCCTGCACCCAGGGCCAGCACTGCACATGTGCCATGTGCCCAGAGCAGGGGCCACCCACGTGCCTTGCGCACCGGGCCGGCTCCACGTATGTGCCGTGTGCTGGGATGGGGCCGGGTCAGATGATTTGGCGGGCGCACATAAACGCCCCAGCGGGCACCATGGCACCCGCGGGCACCATGTTGGGGACCACTGTACTAGACTATTTGTTGTTTTTTAAGACTTCATAATAGTGCTTCTTTTGACCTGAAGTTTGAAAACCTGTCTCTTTCACAGAGGGTACGTCTAGACTACAGGCTTTTGTCGACAGATATTGTCGACAAAGCTTCTGTCGACAAAGAGCGTCTAGACTACATCCAGTTCTGTCAATAAAGCAAGTCGCTTTGTCGACATGAGAGTGTAGACACAAAGGACAGTGTAGATGCAATAGCGCCTTCTGTCGACAGAACTCTGTTGACAAAAGACGTTATTCCTTGTAGAATGAGGTTTACAGCCGTTGACAAAACTGCTGAGTTCTGTCGACGTTGTGTCGACGGAACTCAGCGGCAGTGTAGACGCAGGTATAGTTTTGTCGACAAAAGTCCACTTTTGTTGACAAAACCCTGTAGTCTACACACACCCTAAGAGTAGTAGTTGGTCACATAAAAGATATTACCTCGCCCCTTGTCTCTCAGAACTTTTTACTGCATTTGTAAGACAAATGCCCTATCCTCCACCTGCTGATCAAGGACACATGTAAATTTACAATAGAAACATTGCTGGGAATTGAGGTAATGTGGCTAGATTACAGGATGTAAAACAATTTGAAATATATAATGTCTTTAAAAGTACGGTATGGGTGAATATTTAACAATATTATATAATAACAGTGGCCATGTTTCTCAAAAGCAGCTACCTAAAGGTAGGCTGCTATTTCCATAATTAGACATGTCCATAAGTAGTCTGATTTTCAAAATTGCCAAGCACTTAGCAGCTCTTAAACTGAAGATGCTGGGAACTCCCCAATTTTGAAAATCAGGTCACTTAACTAAGCATGGTTGTAAAGCTCTTATTTTTGAAAATTTTGACCAATACAATACATTTACATTGCAATATTATCAGACAAGTTCTCCTCTTTCTCCACTCCAAATCATTGGGCTCAAGTCTTATTTATGCCAGTTTTGCCCTGGTATAGCTCCATTGATTCCTCCTTATTTATTCCAGTGTAAATCAGAGGAGTGCAGACCCAGATTACTTGAATGGAATTACTCTGAATTTTCATGGGAGTGAATAAGAATGGAATTTGGTCCTAGGTCTTTTTTAATAGTTTACTTTATCTGTGCCTTATCCAAATCCCATTGACACCAAAACTCCCATTGACATTAGTGGAGTTTTGATGGGACCTATTATTTGCAGTGCTGTTATACATTACCATTTTGTCCTAGTTATCTATAGTTGTATCTAAATAAGAAGCTCTTGATTACAGGCAGTCCCCGACTTACGCGGATCCGACTTATGTCGGATCTGAACTTACGAACAGGGCTTTTCTCGCCCTGGAGCTCGCGGGCGGCAGGACCGCCCAGAGCGCAGCGGTCCTGCCACCGCGTCCTCCGGGGCGAGAAAAGCTGCTCCAGTTCTCCCTGGTGTGCTGGGGGGGACTCCCCAGCACAGCAGGGAGACCTGAGCAAAGCCGCACAGGCGGCGGGACCCCGCTGCCCATGCGGCTTTGCTCCTTTGCCCTGGAGCAAAGCCGCACAGGAGGCGGG